TGCCCAAGTATTACTCTTATATTAACAAATAATGCAGTGTTACAGACTAAAATGTACAGGAAGGTGGTGTACACACAGAAGTCACGTTTTGTACACCAGTAGTAATGAGTCAACTCATCAGAAGAGATGCATACAACCCCTTTGAACACATACCAAGACTCAACAACTCTGGAAATTAGAAGAAAATCTCCTTTCCAAAGTGTTTTCAGTCATCGACTACTCAGTCAACTTCATCAAGAAATGTCTATCAACAGAACACTAATCAAGATAATTACTTCTTTCCTACCAAATCAATGACTCAGAAACTGTCAGCCAATTACTTCACGAACTCGGTATACACAAGGCACTAAAATCAACCAATGAAATCCATGTCGAATATCCTATGTCAACCAGGGATCCATCAACTGGAGGAGACAAGTAGAATATAGTCTACCAAATTATTTGTAATTCAGTTGTTGAATAGTCTGAAGAATTTTTATGAACGTCGAGTATCAGGGAAACAACTTGACTAGTCATCAATTATATCGATACATATATACGGATACAAATGTAAAATTCCAATTTGGACTACGTGGAGATATTAGATGAAAGCCAGGTGATAAATTGTGAAAGAGTTTCTGAAAGTATTCAGCTGTAATCAGATAGTATTGAAAAGACATTTGAACATTGACCTGATGTATGGGTTACCAATAAGGCGTCAGTTCAACCAATCAGTGATCAGTAATTAGATGAAGTTGAGTTCTACATGAAATAAATGCTGATGAAATTGTATTAGAGATCTTGTTAAAGAATAATCTTTGTTGTCAAGCTTGAAGTTGGATGTAGATGATGAAGTTGGATACGGTTGCTTATTTTCTATTCAGTCTATATATATATATATATATATATAATATATATATATATATATATATATATATATTATATATATATTAATCACGTGCTGATGGATTAGTAGTTAGCGTATCTTGTCGACATGTTGCCATGCTTCAAGATGTCTTTAACTTGATATCAAGAGTAAACGGAAATCACTTCAGAAATCTTCATAAACCATTATGGCAACTAGAAGTTAACTAAATATTTTGATGGTGATCAATTGTCAGTTGAAGACTATTTTACTTGATTATAAATCAGGATTTCTAGAAAAGACTAACATGAATTATCTAACCTTCGACATGACACTATAAAACAACTTTGATTGGTTGACTGTAAATGGAGTATTCTGTATTGCTGGTTATCATAGGATCATTGCCTAGTATCGACTTAATTAAATATACTAATGACTTGACAATTTTCCACTTCAATAGATTATTCCCATAGAAGGATTTCCTATCTACTGTTAGACGATAATCTTTCGTCAATCGTTGTGTGGTTATTTCTTTAAAATAGTCACAGGCGAAAATAATCCATGTAAACCACATTAGGTGTAATCATCCCCGTTGTATTGATAAGTTATGCAATAGTGTATATTACAAGTGTAATGTATCTCGGTGTCATCGATACAGATGACATTTATCTTGTTGAATAAGCATCTGACTAAACCATAATTTGTATACACATTGAACCTACCTTGGTAGTATTGTTTTTAATTTTCATACCAAGAGTAAGGTTTTTTTCTTTTTGTCTCCCTTCCTATTCTTCCTTATGTTTCCTATTAACTTCATTGACCCTTTTCTTAAGTTTTCACATGAATAGTTCTACAAGTCCATGTGTGTGTGTGATCAGATTGTTCGAAATCTGTATAACGCTAATACATCACGACATGTATCATAGACTCCCGTATATTTTTAAAATGTTTTCAAAATTTCGTTTCGCAAGCTACGGATAAAACAAAGAAAAAACTTTACGCTTGAAAGAAATCCTTGAAAACACGCCATTTTACTATTCCAAGGATATCTATACCGAATTACAGATGATTATACTGGCTGGTGGAATTACCATCATCAGAATTACACTCAGTGATGTATTCATTCCTGAGCCAAGACCAGACATCCTATTTGAGACTCACTCGTCAGCTGGATGTACCTGCAACCCAGCGAGTGATGTTGTTCCCACTGTCGCTGGAATCTAGTACCCTTCACTTCAAATATCAAAGCGTTATCCACTAAGTTACTGGGGCACGATATCCACCTCTTGTACAACGAGTATCACTCATTATTATTATGACTGTATGATGTTACATCATAATTTTATGAGACAAGCATAACAAATAACTGATACTCTTTGCACATGACGTGGATATCATACCCTAGTAGATTAGTAGGATAACGCTCTGGTGTTTGAAGCGAAGACTACAGTGTTCTAGCCTCGATGGAAACAACATCACTCTGCACTGAGATGCAAGTACATCCAGCTAATGAGTTCTGAATAGGACAAAACTCGGATCCTGAATTCTTCTGCCAGCCACAACTAACCAAATTATCATAATAAACATTCTGGCAGAATTGAGGCATTCATATGGGAGCCCATCTCCAATTATAGGTCGAGTAATTCGATTCAGTATACAGAAAGTCAACAATAGCATATTTATCTCGTCTTCTGTACGATGAAGACTGCTACAAATGATACGAAATACCAATCAACTTTTGTATTTGAAAGGAGAACGAATTAAGGAAGTACACAGTTTGGGGGTCATTTATGTATTATGAATGTAATTGCTAATGTAGATTTTCAAGAAAATTGTATATGAAGTAATTTCAATAACATAGGAGTAAAACTTGGGCATTGTGGTCGACTGTTATTCTATTTTAATCAGTTTATTAGAAATATTACACAGTGAACGGACAATATCATTTACTGGACAGACATAATTTATTGTCCATATTCATCACATAACTAACTCCACAACATCGAGACACACTTCATATACTTCGAATTCTCTCTCCTTCTCTGTCATGCATGATAAGTGTAGTAGAATCTTCCACAGAATCTGCAATAGTAGTGATAGTAGTAGTAGTAGTACTAGTGACATGCATGTTTTTCATAATAAGTCTACTATGAATAGTAGTGATAATGTTGAGAGGGTTGAGAGGGAATTCATAGTGTCTACTGTGGTACCTACCATACAAGGAGGGGTGATGGGGTGGGGGGGGGTGGGTGTGGGACCTGACATGCATTACGAAGAATTGTCACTGAGGCCGATTGAGATTAAAGTGAGGGTGAAATCAAGAAACTCGCTTGGAGAGAGACAAGCTTTGAACGTTATAATATCCCATCGATGCGATTGAGCAAAGTGATCTAGTTGACCATATCGCTTGCAATGATTGACAGGTGAAATGTATATGTGAGTCAAAGTAGTTGACCATGTGAGGATCGATTAGAATAATAGAGCACAAAACCTTAGGTAAATGAAGACTGATAGATGATAATAAGATGAGAAATGTAGAGTGGAAGTTGGCTGGCAATAGCTGTGCACACGATTACACACAATGACTTACAGAATGGAGTGGGATGGAGGGGAAGTATTGTAAACTATGTCAGTTTGTTTGAGGGAGTGAGTGATGGAGGAAGAGATTGATAACTGACAGAATTTTTGTTCATCGAATGAACACCAAGTATACGGAGTAATAGAAATGATTGTACATCTGTCCCATATATCTGGAAGATTCTACTACGCTTATCATGCATGAGAGAGGAGGAGAGAGAATTCGAAGTATATGAAGTGTGTTTCCAGTTTGTCCTATATGGTATTATTATTATTATTACTATTATTGTTAATATGAGTGGAGTGTACGCTCCTAAAGCTATGCGTTTTGCAGACAACGCCACTCTTACTCTCTGAAGCAGCGAATTACCCATAAACACATTCCAATCCCCTTCAAATTATCAACTATTGTTAATTTCTGCTTTTCAAGTTCAAAGTGAATAATTACACCCTAACCAGGCATACAACACCAACTGATATAATACATTATTATATTAAAGAAACGATAATAATAATAATAATGTAAATTGTATTATTCGTTTCTCAAGTCTCCCTTCCCTTATGAATGGTTGTGTATATGTGTGTTTATTGGTGTATATCTGAGTCCGTATACCCTTCACTCAGATATATATATATATATATATATATATATATATATATATATATATATATATATATATCTTACAGACAATCATATCATCCTCATCATCATTGTCTGATCGGTATACCCCATAGTTATTGGGTCGCGCGTAGATATAATTTTTGCAAGTTTGTGTACAGTCATCCATTGAAGACTGTATATGTTTATATTCCAATGTGGGTGTATATATACTGACACATGTGAAGAGACCACATACAAAGTAAACGGTCATAATATTACCAATGATGATGATGATGATGATCGTGACAATAAGTGTTCACTATTTTTTCTATTCCATTTCATAAAAAAAAAAAAATATCTTATACCTAATGTACTTTCTAGTGAAACAGAGACACAAAAAGAGTATGAGAGAATAATTCAGGCTTTTTTTTTTTCATTCCTTCAATGTATAACCAAGCATAGTTACACAGTCAATTGGTCTCTATGTCTCTCTGTCTTTCTCTAACCTCTCTAATTTGCTTCAATCTTTAACACTGGTCATTTATTGTTCACTAACATATTCATTCATTTATCAAATAATATTTAAATACATTACATCAGTCAGTATTTTACTAAGTTATCGAGTGTGTGGTTAATTGTCTACTGTGATAGTGAAACGTTCGACTGTGTATTCTACTCTATACTCTATACATATTGATAAGAAGAAGGGGAACAATTTCACCTTAATACTACTACTACTACTAACAATAATAATAATATATTGAAAATATTATTTATACAGAGTAAAACGGTTTATTTCTTCCCCCCTCCCCCTACGCACGCACATATAGAGAGCAGGATTTATTACGTAATTGTCCTTTGGGAGAAGTTCATTGAACACGCACACGCACACGCACATACATACATACACAGAGATACAAATAAATACTCATACATATATATAGAAACTGATTATAGAAACTAAGAAGTTGATCTACAATGATGACAATACAACATTCCATAAATCAGACAAATTCATTTATGTTCGGATTAACTAAAAGTCATTTAAATTTGTTGTCAAGACTATTTTTCAGTTTATTATTGAATTTTCTACCAACAAATTATACTGAAAGTACTTCAGGTTAGTTGAATGACATTTATATATATATATATATATATATATATATGTATTGATGATTGAATGTGAGATAAAAATCTGTACCATGGTCGGATTCGAACCAACGACCATTAGAGTTATCGACTCGATGGTCTACCAAAAATGAGCTATAACATTCAACTACTAATCAGAATTTTTTTTTTCTTCATTTCAATCATCAAAATAGGTTTTGTTCTTGTATAAGGCTAATCAACTTTTCTGTTTCATATATGAATGATATCATCAAGATTTTCATCGATATAATCTTTTCATCTCAATATAGAAACATATTTCTTAACTTGAACTAATGATGGCAACTAATAGTTGAAAATTGATTATATGTAAAGATGTTTATAGGTTTATGGATTGTTTTTAAGAGATTCGATTGAGAAATATTATTTCATGTAGGTTCGAATCCTATTCCATCCATATTTTCTTCGATACAAATATCATAGTACTTAACTTGTACACTTTTAGACTATTATATAAACTGAATACAACAAGTTTAAAGGTTATTTCAAATTGTTATTCATCGAAGACTGACATCAGTTGAAGGAACAAATGAAATCTGGGACCCAATGGCTCAATGGTAATGCGCTTGCCGTGGAACCTGAAGGTCGCGGGTTCGTGGGTGCGCACTGCTGAGGAGTCCCATACTAGGACGAAACAGCTGTCCAGCACTTCTAGGTCTCTTTTGTTACTCCAACTCATATCAGTCTACGATGAATAACAATTTGAAATATTTCCAAATCTCCACAACCCCCTTAAAAAATTTAAAGGTTATCCTAAAACAACTGTAAAAATTTGACTTTTTAAATGAAATAGAAATATCTAATTTGTTATTTTGATTGTTGCTAGGTTCGCCTTTAAAGTTAGGCGATAGTCACTACCTCATTGACTAATTTCATTGCCTTGTTTAGACATAATAGACTATGCAATTCTATAACATATTAAGCACTGTTAGCAAAGTATATGTGGTTACAATCTTGTAATCATCTTACAGTTTTGACTACAAACTCACCTGGGTCCAATTCGTAGCAATAGTAGTAGTAGTAGTAGTAGTAGTAGTAGTAGTAGTAGTAGTAAGGGTTTTATTACCAAGATATATCAAAAATTTAAGCGTATAGTCAGGTATGTCATCATGAATTACTGACTACAATCCTTACCAGTAGTATTGTTAGTAGTAGGTAAATTTGTTCGCATAAATTCACTTTATCTAAAGATACTTTAAGCTGTTATCATCTAAGCACAAAATACGGAGCATAATCAATCACTAAACAAATAAGAAGATATCAAGGAGAAGGGTGTAAGTTAAAAACACCTCTTCCAGGGAATCTTTTTCCATGAATATGACAAACATTACAAAATTCTGTTAACTGCAGTACAACCACCATGAAGTAAAGAGGATATATTTCACTTCACTGTTACTTCAGTAAGCCAATATGCGTAAATTATCCCCGAAAAGCAAACATTAAATATCACAGAATAAACACCTTATATTTTGGATCACTAATAAAGTTTTATCAACTTGACAATTGAAGGTGAAACTAAAATCTATCTGGATACAGTATTTGACGTAATGGTCTCAGTGTGTATTTGCCTTATCTAATAAACATGCGGACTAAATGTATTGTTAGGATAAAAACATACTACTTTATAAAATGTAAGTAGGCAAAAGATCAACACAAAAAATGACAAACATTTTACTGTTTTTCGCTAAATTTGAAACGTTTTCGATAAAATTGATGATGTAAGGTAACAAAAAAACAGGTTTTTAGGGTTAATCTGTTTTCATACGATTTATTATACCGACGAGTAAAAGTTAGGTTTAATTAAAAGGTGATTTAGAGATGTTTCAAGTTAGTATTCATCGTAGACTGAGAACAGTTGGAGGAATAAAGGAAACCTGGGCGTACTAGACAGCTGTTTCTTCCTAGTATGAAACTCCTCAGCAGTGCGCACCAACAACCCCGCCAGGGGTCAAACATGAGACCTTCAGATACCGTGGCCAGCACATTACCATTGAGCTGTCAGCTGGGTGGGAATCCAGTGGTCCATATTTCCAGCTTCTGTCAGTTCACAACATAGTGCAACCATCACGCAATGTCATCTTTGATTAGCTATCCTCACGACTATCAGGCCTTGCCAGCATCGATTATGACTTCTCATTGGAACTTCGTGATTCACTTCTCGAAGCTGGTCACCAATGCGTACTAGTTCAATTGAATTTCGAGAAGGTTGCAAAGAGTTCCATACTAGTCGGACGAAACAGCTGTCCAGTGTTCTCAGGTTTCCATTATTCCTTCAACTGATGTCAATCTACGATGAATCTCAACTTGAAAAAGATATATTAGAGTAAATAAGATAAAATTTAGTGGGATCATTTATCCACTTTAAAGTTTAGTGATAAACTATGTCTTACTTATACTTTGAAATATTTAGTAATAAGCTTTAACCTTTAGATTTCGTAATAAAAATCTTGTTTACACAAGATATTCAACAAGGTCATATGGTTGCAGTCAAACAACTAGTGGTTTACACGAGTAGACATTTACTTTTTTAAGGTAAAGTGTTTACTGATAGTTCTGAATGAGTCAATTGCCATTATTATACTGTAATACTTTATTGATATCAACGAGACTATACTGTGGTTCCATCAGAACATACAATGAATGTAGGTATCTGTCGAGGTTAACTGTACTAACACTGTTTTCTAACCGCCTTCTGTTTATTGACTTATTTTGGCATATAATCAGAGGCTAGGTAGCCTTGATTTTAAAACTTTGAAAAAAAAAATCTCATTTCATCCTTTATGACTGAAATAAAATAGAAAATCTAGTTGGTAGACCATCGATCAAGAAACTTGGTGTTTGCTAGTTCGAATCCGTCCAAAGTGCAAATTTCCATTTCACCTTCAATCATCATACAGTATAAATACTAGTCTGTTAAATCATACCTGGTATCTTGAATAATCAGAGTGAAAATATTAAACTTTTTTATGTCCTGTTATAATCATTTACATGTTAATCAAACTGAGATCATCTATTCTTCTCATTACTTTTTCTTCTAGTGATCAATATTGGTTCATGTTTCTCTAAACGTTTAGATAGTGGAAATTGTATTGGTATTATGGAAGAGAGTATATCACAGTTGGAATGTTGTAAACGAGGCGGATACTATTTAAATCGTCAAATTACTCAACAGGAATATTTAACTGATCATCTACTTTTCGAGTCTGGTACACCGAATTGTGTACAAGCTTGTAATGAAGGTGAATGAAGTGACTAGTACTTTTATTTTTTTGTTATTGTTGTTGTGGTTTCTTCCTTGATATGAACTGATTACTATCTATATTATTCTTTGTGGAACATAGGGCTTCAGTAACACATGGCCACTGCACTCTCTTCTCTGAAGTCTCTTCAACCTGGCTCCAAGACACGCTATAACCTTTCATTTCTCGCTCACACCATCTCTTCCATAGATTCTATTTGGATTCCACTAGTGGGCCTGGACTAGTGCGTAATTTCCCCAAACCGTCTTCACAGCTTATGTCCATTTCAATCTATCTCTGCTTTCTCCTTCTGCATATATGTTAGGTGATAGGTTATTGGTCGCTTGGTTTGTTGACAGGACAAAGTGAGTTCCTTGCTGCTTATTCTTATTGCGCTGACCATCTGATCTCCATCTTCAGTATCGCATGAGCGTAGGCGGTAGTTGTTCATCTATATCTGTAGTTTGTTGGAAATGCTTTTCGTAACGCGCCAAGTCCCTCAACCATCATATGGCAGCACTGACTTGATTGACTTAGTGTAGAAAATCCGGATGTTGTTGACACTTTACGCTGATTGTAGTGCTGTGCAGTACATCTCCACACTGATTTCAGATTATTGCACTAGGACCTGTCTTACTATCTTTCCGATCCTGGCTGGCTTTGACACCCCCATTTGTGCCTTTGCCAAGTGTGGTTAGGTGAGAAAGACTACTTCGTTTAGATTTCTCCCGTTGATGGTGATCGATGCTTGTTGTTGTTAGTTGGGTATCTTAATCACCTGTGTCTTCTCTACGTCCACCTGAAGGAAGTCTCGTCTTAGCTGCACCACCTCACCATTACTGCCAACTTGTTTGCTTTTGTCCGTACATCGTCAAGTTTGTGCTACATAAGACAGACATAAGTCATCATCAGCGAAATCTAAATCTTTCAGGGTCTTTTCACCAATCAAACAGCGTATGCCCATCTTTTTACTCCGCACAGTTTTTCGCATGATCCAGTCCAGTCCAGTCGAGTCGACCACAATCAGGAAGATGATTGGTGATAATAGGAGGCAACATTGTCTTACCTGTCAACTTGTCTTCACTTCAAAGGCGTCACTGAGCTTTCCATTGTGAATCACTTGGCATATAGCGTCACCATATAGCTTTTGAGTGAGATTGATAAAGGTTTGCGGCACTTCATAGTGTTTAATTCAATAACGCAATGGAAGTACCATTTGAAGAATGAGCTGATATTAGTTTATTTTACGCAATACTTTTGTTAACTGCATACAACAGTTAACAGATAAAAAAACCTCATGACTACTTCGATTTCCTGAGGTCATCAATATGCAAAGAGTTCAATCTGAGTAGTATATTCACAAAGAGATAGTTAGCACTTCAGTATTCAAGTCTTATATAACCTTTATCTACCACAACCAAGATTATCCAACTGAGCTACAAATATTCTCTACCATTTCAAAATCATACGTAGACAAACATGCTTTACGCTGTTCAAAGATATGAGAACTACTCCAAGAGGTAAGCTTCCATGAAAGAACAACTATTCTTTCTTTATCAATGTGTTAACATCATTATGAGTGTCAGATATAGACCACTGACTGACTTTCTAATGAGATGGGAAATAAATGAACAAAATGGAAGACAAATACTACAATTAATGATCTCAGATACACATTATTAGATCAAATAGGCAATACAAAGTAAAACAAATAAAAACCTTCAGGAAAATGTCAGCTGACAAAGAATACCTCACTGTAGTTCTACACAAAGAATACTATATCAAGAAGGCAATGTATATGAACCTCTTAAAACCAATCCCATTCAAAGATTCAACAATTAGGTCAAGAAAACGTTGAACAAACTCTTCAAACCTGAAGATAAGTAAATTTCCAGTTATTTTAATAAGCCAGTAAACGGTTAGTAATAATAATAAAATTTCATATATTATTATTATTATTATCTATAATTTATCCCTTGGGTTCCTAGTGGAACATAGGGCTTCAGTAGCGCATCTCTGTTGCACTCTGTTATACTTAGCACTATGCATCGTTTAGTACATTGGTTTCTATGGAGATGGTTGTTTTACCTGTATGAATTGTAAATAGTGAGTTATCTTTAGTTCAGTATTAACAATAATATTAGTAATACCATAAGTAATCATTATTTATTGGTTTTTCTTTCCCCCATCCCTTTTTTTTCTTCTTCTATCATTAATTTATTGAATACAAAATGGTGTAGAATTACCTTCAACATGTAAAGGATATGTTTGTCCTGAAGGACATTATTGTCGTATGATAAATAATGAACCAAGATGTATTTGTGGATTACAATGTAATGGAGATGATTATTTAACTGGACCATTATGTACAACTAATTTAAGACGATTTCGTAATCAATGTCATTTAAAACAAGCACGTTGTGCATCACCAAAAGAAGGTCTTGAAGTGATACCATGTCCAGATCAAGGAATACGTTGTTCTGATTCTAGTATTCTAGTTAACTATAAACCTAATTATAAGTCAATACTTAAAACATTTTATCCAGATAAGATACCAACTTCATCATCATCATCATCATCATCGTCGGTGTCATTACCTTCAAATGATCAAGTATATACTGATAATGAAGATGGTATCATTATGATGAATCGTAGAACATCTAAAGATGTTAAAAATTATATCCTATCAGATAATCATTATTTTGATCAATCAAGATTTGAAGAAAAGACACCATTTTCAAGTTATACTAATGAAATTACACTATCGAAAGAATTAACTTGTCATTCAAATGAATATTGTTTATTACGTCAATTTGATGGACGTCCATCATGTGAATATTGGAGTGAAAAATCATGGTTAACAATGAATCATTGTCCTGAATCAACATTTCATGAACCAATGTGTAGTACAGATAATCAAACATACTATAATAGTTGTGAATTAAAATTAGCTGGATTGAAGAATCAATTAGAAACAAGAATTGCATACAGAGGAGAATGTCGTAGTAAGTTTCATTTATTAGCCTATATACCTATATTATCTTTTAACTCATTAATAATTATTCATTGAATAATTAAACATTGAACCAGTGGATGTGTATTAAAATAGCTGGAATGTGATGATTGTTTACAAAATTTCAACATGTATTACCTGCGGTGCTAACTGGTGATATATCCGATTACCTATCGAAGACCAAGTACACTGTGTAGTATTATTAGTGGATAGGGGAATTACCGTTTGAATAGTGTTGTGGTCAAGAGGAAGACTTGGACAGATACGGTGCATTCTAAACCATTGCCTAGCTCAATATACCATACTGGGAGAAGTTGGATTAGGTTAAGAAGAGAAGATGGAAGCAGTCAACAGTGTCTCTTACGTTTTGTCTGAATCATGGTGAGCGACGTAGATTGTCTGGTGAAGGTTATTGAGACAACCACTGAATAATTTTTCTCTTGGCCATGTGCCAAGTAATTCACAATGGGAAGCTCAGTGATGCCTTCGAAGTGAAGACAGGAGTAAAACAAGGCTATCTACTATAACCCATGATATTCCTTATTGTGGTCGACTGGAACATGCAGCAAACCATGAGGAACAAGAAGCTAGGCATACGCTGGACCTATGAAAAGACCTTAGAAGATTTGGATTTCTCCTATGATTGTGTCTAATGTCACACAAACTTGAAGATCTACAGGCAAAATCCAGCAAGTTGACAGAAGATGCAGGACAGCAAAAACGGGACTTCAAGTGAATGTAGAGAAGACAGAGGTGATGATGAAACCCAACCAACAACAACAAGCCCCGATCACCATGAACGGGAGAAACGTAAAGGAAGGAGCCTCTTTCACCTATCTAGGCGGCATCATTTCAACTACAGGCGGCACAGACGAAGACGTCAAGGCCAGGATCGGAAAAGCATGACACGTTTTCTTTAACCTGAAACCAGTGTGGAGATCTTCTCCACTCAACTCAGCATAAAGCGAGAACAACATCCGGATTACCAACACCAATCCAGTCAAGTCAGTGCTTCTGTATGATTCAGAAACTTAGCACATTATGAAAATCATTTTGAACAAACTACAGATATTCATCAACAACTGCTGTCTATGCTGGCTCATTACTGAAGCTCAGATGGCAACAACATGATTGAGGACATCACGCTTCAGGCAAGGCACTCGAGTGGAACCCAGATGAGAAGTGACAAGTTGGGCATCTTAGGTGAAGATGAGATGGAAGAGATCGAGCGAAGAAGAAATAAGAGGTTGTAGGCTGTCGTGGAACCAAGTTCCAAAGTTTATAGACAACAAAGTGTAATGATGACATGCAACTGAAGCCCTATATTCCATAGAGGAACTCAATGAATAAATATATAATAAAATACTTTTCTCTTGATTTAAGATTATTGTCTGAAACTACTTTTAGTTGATGAGTTTTTAGAGAAGAATAAAAATATTACTTGTCTTAAAATGTTAACTCTTTTGTTTAACTAGTTCACTGAATTGTCAAAACTTATAGAGCGGCAAAAATAATTTTGAAAAACAACTCAGAAAATTATCATGATTAAATCTACATATAGTAAGTGTAGGATTGAATTTTTATAGAAGAAAATTCATCTGAAATAAATTAGTAAAATTAGACAGCCTGAATTCTATTGTATTCTGTTAAGTTCATCCCTTATGAAGCGCTGATTTCTCTCCTCTTTCCCATCATCAACTTCATTTCTAGTTGATAATTTCAACTGTAGTATAGATCAGATAAATGAAATAAGACGGAAGAATGTTATGTATAGTATATACTTGTGCTTATTTTATCACCTTAATGATTACAGTATACTTACTTAATGCATTGACTATATTTAGCTGATATTATACAAAATTTACCGCAATGTTATTGTTTACGATTGAAATATACACTTCAAATGATAAGTAGTTTCTAATCATTAGTTTGTAGGGTAGTATGTCTACCAGAAGATTGAAAAATGTTATTTATTCATCAATGGAACATAGGGATTCAGTAGAACGCCTCGCTCAACCTCACTCCACGACTGCAAATCGTCATTTCACATTTGCATTCCACTCGACCCACTGGCCTAACGCATGATGTCCCCTGTTGGCTTTCTCATATCCACTTTCACCTTCTCCATATTTATTGAACGATAGATTCTTACTTCGTTGGTTCGTTCAGCCAGCCAGCCACAGCCAGCCAGCCAGCCAGCCAGCCAGCCAGCCAGCCAGCCAGCCAGCCAGCCAGCCAGCCAGCCAGCCAGCCAGCCAGCCAGCCAGCCAGCCAGCCAGCCAGCCAGCCAGCCAGCCAGCCAGCCAGCCAGCCAGCCAGCCAGCCAGCCAGCCAGCCAGCCAGCCAGCCAGCCAGCCAGCCAGCCAGCCAGCCAGCCAGCCAACCAACCAACCAGCCAATCAACCAGCCAACCAGAGTTCCTTCTTGCTCATTCCTATTATTCTAGCCATCGCATCTCATCTTCAGTATCGAGTGAGCACTGACTTGAGTGGATTAGTGTTGAAAATCGGGATGTTGTTGATGTTTTGTGCTGCGTGGAGTGCAGTAGATCTCCAGACAGATTTCAAATTGATGAAAGGCTGTCTTTCCTATCCAAACTGGTTTTGACATTCTCGTCTGTGCCTGTGCTGCCTGTAGTGAATAGATTACTTCCTTTAGGTTTCTCGCGTTCATGGTGATTGGAGCTTGTTGTTGTTGGTGGTGGCGTTGGTTGGGTATCATTATAACCTCTGTCTTCTCTACGTTCACCTGAATGAAGTCCCGTCTTCGCTGCCTCGCCTCTTCTATCAACTTGTTAGTTTTCGCCTGTAGATCTTCGAGTTGGTGCGACATTAGACACAAGTCGTCATCGACGAAATCTAGATCTCCTAGGATCATTTCATCAGTCCAGCGTATCCCCCCGCACACCTCTTTTCTCTCCTCACTGTTTGTTGCGTGATCCAGTCCACCACAATCAGGAAGATCATGGGTGATAGTAGGCGGCAGCCTTATCTTTCTCCTTCATGTCTTCACTTCAAAAGCATCACTAGGCTGCTTACCACTGTGAATCACTTGGCATGTGGCGTCTTCATGTAGATGTTGAATGGGGTTGATAAAGGTTTGTGGTATTGCGTAGTGTTAAAGCAGCTATCTACCAAATTTCTTCTCCGTCAGCGCTGTCGAAGGTCTTTTCAAAATTGAAGTTGAGGTGAAGATCCAGTTGACTGGCATCCTATGCTCTGTTCTATGATGATGCGTAGCGTTACAATCTGATACGCAAATGATTTGTTCTTCCAGAAACCAGTCTGTTCCGGTTGCAATCTTGAATCCAGCGCATCTTTCAGTCTCTTCAGGATGATGAGCCATACTATTGTGCTTGGTGTGATCAGGAGCATGATTCCGCGCCGGTTCTTGCGAAGACTTAGGTCTCCCTTCTTTGGGAGTTTGACAAGGTAGCCTTCCTTCATTGCAGACCTTCTGGAGTAGTGGTGTGAGCATGTCCGGTGTCGTCCCGGCGTCTATTTTCAGTGCTTCCGGCGGAATTCCATCTGGTCTTGCTGCTTTCCCGCATTTCAGTAGCTTTATGGTGTTCAGGACTTCGGCTTTTGTCGGACGGCTTGTGTTCACTGGTAATTCTGTGGCTGGGCTGCTGGTTGTATTTCTGGACGAGTTGCAGGTGGTGGTGGTGGTCGACTCGAGATTTTTTTGAAATGGTCAGCCCATCATTCCCTTTGTTTCTCCTGTTTGGTGCTAAGTTTCCTTCACTATCTTTCATTGGTTTCATCTGCATAAATCTCTTCTCCGATAGTAGCCTGGTTATTTGATATAATTTTGTCAGGTCTGTCCTACCTGCCGATGTGTCGTAGAAGTGTCACTCATCTTTCCGCACACTCTTGTTCACTTCTCTGTCCAGTTTTTTATAGGTTGTGTTCAGTTCCTCTTTTCTTTGCTCATCCTTGCACTAGTTTATCTTCTGCTTCACCATCCTTCTCTCCTCTATCAGCTTCCATGTGTTCGAGATCCATTCCTTGTCTTGTTTCTTCTTTCTTCCTTACAAGGTTATACAAATTCCCTTCTACGTCTATTTCAAGGAGTTCCAGTGTTCTTACACACTGGTTTCTTCAGGGATGTGGCTCAGTATCTCCAATTTTGTCCTGATGACTGACGTGAAGATGTCCTTTGTAGTTTCGTCCTTCAGTTTCTGGGTGTTGAAACGCATACTTATTGTTCACCCTTATTCTTTCCTGGACTCCAGAAAAGGACTACTTTGTATTGTGTAGGATTTTCAAGGCTGTTGGTAGGTCAAGTGGTACACCATTAACCGTGTTGGTAAATGCGGTTGTGGATAGGTATCTGATCTTTCATAGACCGTTGGCTGAAAATGGTTTATCTGATGACAAACACACCCTTGCATTCCCGACTCTCTTCATGCCTGTCTTCCAGGAAGACAAGAAGCAAACAGATTAAACTCTATGCAGCTACAACAATATACAAGAACTCAAGTGTACCAGCTTATTTAGCTTGTGTATTAAGTGAAGAAAATTATGTTAGACTATAGTCTTATCAATCAACTGTGTAACAGTCAAATAAGTAGTATGTCTCTGAAGCCATTAAACATTTCAATAATCCTGTTATTTGTAATTCTTTACCATATATTTACACATAGAACATAGAACCGTTGTTAATGTTTTAAAAATGTTGTACTATGGGTAAGTTGATGTAATAACACACACTGAGAATTCTGTGCTGAAAAGATAACTATGGTGGGGAATAAAGCAAATGTATTATTATTATTATTATTATTATTATTATTATTATATAGTCAGAATCTTCAAGGTTACCTAAGAAATCACCTTCTATTCTGTACAGAATGAGTTCCTATACTGAACTCCCAGAATCCTATTATTCTAAAGCGGTGGGTTTTAGGAAGTAAAAAGTAAGTCTCAGACATGTTAAACGTTAATATCATGACTACTTGTCTTTCAGTGGCTTAGAGTTGTCTGTCAGTTTTTG